CCAATAATCAAATTTTTATTCAGGTAGGTACACGTCATTTTGGACTAGTCGACAGGGCAGTGTTGACAGCTCCGGGTGTTACCGTGCCGTGCTTCTTACTTCATTTTGATGTTCACGATTCCACGGTTAGGTACTGATGTTGAACACGATATAAGGGGAGCTGGAAACTGATATTTCGAAGTAAGGATTCAACTTCTTCACGTATTGTTCACTTTTTTCTTAGCGTTTCCCTACTTTTTATTTTTTAATAACAAAACTCAATGCAATATTAATTGTCATCACCAAAGCCAAATCCTAAGAAACTGGTGAGAAGCGTGGTTTTGAGAAGGCTCATTTTGCAACTACGTGCACCATATGGTAAAATAAATACCACACTTAGGCCGGAATGATTTCTTGAGGACCTCGGTCGTTGTTGATATTCCGCCCGAGGCCGAAGGCCGAGGGTGGAAAATCAAACAACGACCTCTGTCCTCAAGAAATCATTTACCGGCCCCGTGTGGTATTATATAATACTGAACGAGGCCGGTGTAAATAAATTTTCAAGACCGAGGTCCTTACTGAATTTTTGAACGAGGCCGAAGGCCGAGTTCAAAAATCAGTAAGGACTGAGGTCTTGAAAATTTATCACCGGCCGAGTTTGGTATGTATTTTACTGTATGCCAACGATAAAATAATTGTCTAGACCGAAGCTCTTAGCCGTTTTTTGAACGAGGCCATACCAAAATGTTGACTTGGTAATTCGTTTTTGACCGTGGTCAATTTGCTTACACCAGTTATTACCACACCCCTCTGGCTAATGTATTTGAATAGGCCAGGCATACAGTAATTTATATTTCTGTATGCCTGGCCTATTCAAATACATTAGCCTGAGGGGTGTGGTAATAACTGGTGTAAGCAAAGTGACCACGGTCAAAAATGCATTACCAAGTCAACATTTTGGGATGGCCTCGTTCAAAAAACCGCTAAGAGCTTCGGTCTAGACAATTGTTTTATCATTGGCATACAGTAAAATACATACCAAACTCGGCCGGTGATAACTTGTCAAGACCTCAGTCCTTACTGATTTTTGAACTCGGCCTTCGGCCTCGTTCAAAAATTCAGTTAGGAATGGACCTCGGTCTTGAAAATTTATTTACACCGGCCTCGTTCAGTATTATATATTACCTATCATTTATTAAATGGCGTGAATTGTGAAAAAAGGTAGGCATAACGCTTCGTAACTGAAAGGATGGGGTAATTGGGTACCTGTTGCCGTTTTAGCCTTTTTGTTCATCCCATTCGGCATTGCTTTTTTAACATTAGGTCGACCGTCGAACCCAGTCGTTCCAGCATTGGTGAAGACCCTCACCTGCATTGCTCAAGATTGGTGAAGGATCCTTCACCAATCTAAAACTTTGGTGAAAGGTATCCTTCACCAAAGAGATACGTTGCTACACCTATGGTCCGGCGATTACATAAGATAGCTTGCAGCTCCTTTATTCAGCAACCGCGTCGACTTTAATCTCTCAGAGATATATGTACATGTGCAGGCCCTTGTTCTTTTCCGGGTGCTGCCAAAAACTTGTATCCGTGCCTATACAAATTACATGGCTGAATGAATGCCTTGAAATGCACCAGGTCAGCCACTATCTCGTTATCTGAGCCTGAATACATGATGATCCCGCGTCTATATAGTACAGTCGCGGTTTTAAATAAACGCTTCCAGCGTATATACAGAGGAACGTCATTCAGATCACGTGCCTGTCTGCGATGTTCGGTACATGACCGGGGCGGCGTGGCGCGGCGAGGAACGCAAACACCCTTAGCGGAGGCATGACTCCAATTCGTCGTAGTTGGCTTAAAACTTGTCAATCTCCCCAAATTCCCTATTTTATAATACACTCGGCGAGCTTAAAGGTAGTGTGCCAGCTTTCTTGGACCGTATGGAGTTAATGGCCCAGATAAGGAGAACCGGATTTTTAGAACTTATCCATACCTTCAAAACTCATGGAAACGTCTTAAATTCTTCAAATTTTGAGTACCCCAGTGCGAAATTCGCCCCGACGGGTTGTCGGTCGTACCCCAACCACATTTCACACCACTATGAACAATAAATGCACACACTGAAATCGCTATTACCGATATGCTCATCCAATCAAGTCTCGATAAACCCGTTCATCATCATCTCCTGCGGTTTCGAACACGCCTGTTAGGTGGCTTCTGATGCTCGTCGAGGTCGGAATTTCCAAATACGCGTGGTGCGTCGGGCCGCGCGCTCTGACTTCGGCCAAGAAAAATGCGTCAGCTGATCATTGTCATTTCTGCCACTTGCGTGTGGTGAAATGGGGTCATAACTTATAAGACGGCTTTTTCATATCAATTATTTTACATAAAATCATATTTCAAACCATAAATAATGTTCGACAGCCAAATAAAAGAAACAATACCAATACGGGCTTACAGTTTAAGGCGCGACATTGTGTTGTCTACGATTAGACAGCTGATAACTCATTCCCGTACGTCGTATGGTCGTAACACTATATTGACCTTTGCTTATTGTCACAAGTGCGCCGCATTCGCGATTGTTGCCCGACGCCTGTTTGCAGGTGAGCCCACTACAGTTGTTATACATATCTAAAAACCGAAAAACTTTTAGGCGAAAAAGGCACTATTCCAGGCCCATTTTTGATTTTTTTTGCGATATTAGGTAAAAACAGAAGCTTCTTATCCTAGGAAAAATAAAATGGGAAATATTTCAAAGGTGGCACACTACCTTTAAATGCAGTGGAGATCCACAATGGGAGCCTTTGCCTTTCGCGACAGGGATATGATGTCCTTTCTCACTCCTATCGGCATCGCGTGGCCAACATGAAGATACTGCCTTGTATCCGTGCCTTGAAGGTAATGAAAGTACTCATGGTACTTTTGAAGAAATGAAAGAAATTATTAAACATCAGTTCACCGAGCTCTCCAGGCACCCACTGGATGAGAGTGCCGCCTCTCACTGAGTGTCTCAGCGTGTATCACTGAGGGACTGTCAGAGGCTACCAGCGTGTCTCACTGAGGGACAGTCAGAAACTCTCATCGTGTCTCACTGAGGGACAGTCAGAAACTCTCACCGTGTCTCACTCTGTCTCGAACTTACCCAGCGCGGCTGGTCGGGCGGCTGCTCCCCGGCCGGTCTCTCCCCGGCGTCACTGGCCCTCTGACTGTCGGCGTCACTGGTGACCCGACCGCTGACTGTCGGGGCGGCCGGACCGAGCCGCCGACGACCGGCGCACACCGGGCTGTCGGGCGGCTGCAGCAGCTGCTCCAGGCCCGGGCTGCGGCGGCACTCGTCCTCCCAGGCGGTCGCCTGCTCGAGCCAGTACTCTGGCCGCGGTGATCCGGCCGCCACAGCCGCCAGGTACTCCTCCTCAGCCTCGACCAGACGGTGGTAGCCGCGCGCGGTGCGTGGCCGCGGCGGCGGGCTGCGGCCTCCCTCGGCCATCCTGCAGGTGACGGGTCCCACCGGCCGACAACAGACGGTCGCTCGGCGGACCGGAGACGCGGCGAGAGACGCACGCGGGGGACGTCCCGCCACAATCGCGCGCTGCTGCCGACTGATGAGCCGGCGCGGCGGCCGGCGGGCCGGCGTCCCCGCCGCCGCGGGGGCAATCCGCACCGGCCGCGGTGGGACAAACACCATCCCGTGCCCCCCTCTGTAGGTACCCCGTGACTGCAGACCCAGGGACGGACCCGTCCCTCGAGATTACCCCTGGCTCCAGCGGGGAGGCCTCCTACCCGTCCCTCGAGATTACCCCTGGCTCCGGCGGGGAGGCCTCCCACCCGTCCCTCGAGATTACCCCTGGCTCCGGCGGGGAGGCCTCCTACCCGTCCCTCGAGATTACCCCTGGCTCCGGCGGGGAGGCCTCCTACCCGTCCCTCGAGATTACCCCTGGCTCCGGCGGGGAGGCCTCCCACCCGTCCCTCGAGATTACCCCTGGCTCCGGCGGGGAGGCCTCCCGGCGCCGGCGACGCATTGGAATCTACGTAGTACCCGCGTATAGCGTACGCGGTGGCGGCGGTAGTTCACTCGTACCGCTGTCCGTAGCTGGATTTTAGCTGACAGATGGTTTGATTGATTGGATTACACTCAATGCAAATTGCCGAGACTGTGCGGTGTAACTGAAGTCAAGTCATTGTCGGTATCAGCCCTCGGATTGACAGTTAATTACATCCAGCTGTGGGGACAGGGACGGCTGGTGGGCGTCAGGCCCATCCGAGACCTCTCGAATTACGATCGTCTCGGTTTCGGGGATTTGACATGTCGCCGCAGCGGCTGTAGGTATACGGTGCCGGAAGCCGTCCCATTGACTCGGCGTGCTGCGCCTCTGGTCCCGTGACACACGATACCTCTTCTGATTAGCTATCACGTTGCCTATCGAACGTTTCTCTATGCTTATGTCACGTCAATTTATACCGGTAAAGTTTTCACCGCGACTGTCAGAATAGATCGCTTTTATGCTGGAACCCATACCTTATAGCCAGTGTTCTTAGTTTTTCATTATTTATTTACTTTTGTTGTTTTACTGCCTCATTGAATTCCGCATATGGCGAAGTATTTTCCAATTGTTCCCGACATTTTTCTGGGCAATATGTCCGTCTCGCTTAGTATTGATAGCGCGTTGAGCGTTCTATCCTCTACGGTTTGTCCTTTGAAGCATGTTGCGGTGAGCACTGAGCAAACTGCATTGTCGGGAAAAGGACGGGTATGTGGCATTCCTGCACCAAAATTACGTGACATTGCTCCCCAAAATGTCATTATACCCAACTTTCAGGATCACTGAGCAGGAATGACTGAATTAAATCATGGCTGTAAAATGTTGCATATTAATTTAAAAGGGTACTTAAATACATTATATTGTAATACTACGGGTGGACTTCGAAACGTCGACGCAAAAGATAATGGGATGCCCGGAGATTATACACCAAATATGCACCTATGTAGGTAAAGCGACATCGATGCAATTCGTCGAATGTTCATTTACAATGATCAAGTTTATTCAAATAAAATATCCAGCATATTAAATGGGGCACATGTTGGCACTTCAATATCAAATCATAACGGCGGAACGTAAAATGATCAGCAGTAATACCTTCACACATGGGCTTCCGATCCAGTTTTACACTTCACATCTTCACTGCCGTCATGTGAGTTTAGTCGGCTATTCTTAGATAATTAAAATCCTTCGATGCGTATATTCAACCAGAGTCGTTTGATATGGCACGTCTCGCATGATATGTGCTCAAGGAAGACCTTTCTGATCGCTTGACGCTATCATATTATCACGATCGTCTCGCGGCAATTAAATTAAACATGTAAATGGCCTCTAACATTCTCCAGCTTCACCGAGCACTTGCTGCCAGGAACATACAATGCTTCATCTCAGCACATACACGCACATGTAAAACAACAAAAAGTCATTCCCCTCATATCAGTTATCTCACAGCATACCAGAACGCCCACGTCATTTGTGCCTGCGCGCGGGAACCGCGAGCACGGCACACTTCCGCAAACAATGTGCAAACTGCTGGGCGCAGGCGCACATGTTATTTCACGACGAGGTTTGAGTAGTTTGTTGGAAGACAACTGATTGCTAATGGGACGGAGAAGCGGGTCCGTCGACCCTCACAATATCTCCCTAGGTCAACGTAATATGCATTCATAAAAGTGGTCCCATCGATCCATTTCGTCGCCATAGTCTACTTTTCTCCGTCCCTTCCTCACGGTCAGAATCTCTACACGTACGGTCTGCAGGAATTTGACGTGATCATATCACTGGCACGTCTGTCGTGCAACCGTTCGAGTGACGTCTGCTGTCCGTAAAACTCATCCAAGGTACTGCGCGGCCGAGGGCTCACCCCACTTCACTGGTCGTCTGGCTCAAAGAGCTCGTAGTGCGGGATTGTGTCGATGGTGACGGGCTGCTCCAGCCACCTACCACCGCTGTCGAGCCGACCCGAGCTCAGTTCACGCCACAGGCCGCGCGGCAGGTACACGCGCCGGCTGGTGACGTTCGGCTCGGTGACCGGGGCTACCATGAGCCGCGCCCCAATCAGGAACTGGTCGGCGATCGGCGCCACAGTCGGGTCCTCTCCGAACTGGTGCCACAGCGGCCGCACCATGGGCCAGCCCTCTGCCAGCGCCTCCCGCAGCGCCGCCTTGTAGGCGGGCAGCACGGTGCGGCGGCGGCGCCACAGCAGCGTGTTGGCCATCTGTTCCAGCTCGGGACTCAGTTGGTGCGGCAGCTGCGCTAAATGCACCCGAGGCATGAAGCTGGCGAGCTGCAGCCAGCGGGCGTAGAGCTCTGGCTCGGCGGCGCCGGAGCCGCCCACCGCCGGTGGCGCCACCAGGTGGAGGCCGCCGGTGCCGGCCGCCAGCGCAGAGGGCAGCACCTGGCGCAGGCCGGCCCACGTGGACGGGCGGGGCGAGAGCTGCGCGAACACGGGCTCCTGGAGCGGCCGCACCGCGCTGGAGGTGCTCAGCACCAGCAGGCCCGCCTGGCGCACCACAGCGTGCAGCTGCTCTGACAGGTAGTCCGGGTTGGCCATCTGTCCGGGCACAGAAACGGGTCACACAATGCTCCAAGGGGCCACCAGATGGCGGTCACATGCAGAGGTCAGGGACTATTACATAGGAAAATATGACATCGATCGCATAGTTTTGCTCAATAAAAATTAAAAGGCTGCCTAAATAAAAACTAATGGATTAATCTTAGGTGCACGAGGACTTGAAACGTGATGAAAATAAGTAAGCAAATGCTTATTTTGCCAATATACCTAATTTCAGCTATCGATAATTCTGGGAACCGTTTCCCCCTGAGCGAGCGCCACCCGGTAACTAACGTACCCGTTGCGTGAGGTTGTAGTAGAACGGCAGCAGCTGCGCCGAGGTCTGGTCGATTACCACCCACTTGATCTTGGTCTCGTCCTTCAGCCTCTTCAGCTTGGTCCGCAGCCAGTTCTGCGTCTTTGTGCTGGAGAGGTCCATCCAGGCGCCCTTGGCGTTGGCCAGGTTGACTAGCGCCGGGTCCCCCGTCACGGCCTCTCGCACCCACAGCTGCTTGTCGATGCCGTACTCGATGTTGGCCGACTTCAGCTCCACCACGGGACTGATGGTGACGGCCAGCTCCAGACCCTGCCGCTGCAGGAGCTCGTTGGCCTTCCAGGCGTTGCTGAAGCGTTTGCGGTCGAACTGGATGTCCCCCTGGTGCGCCTGCCAGTGACTGTCTAGCACCAGCACGCCGCTGCCGTAGCGCCGGTTTGAGATGTCTGCACCGTACGCAATCACCTGATCCTGGGTGTAGACTCCGCCGCCACCAGGGAAGTGGTACACGATCTGGTCGAAGCTCGGCCACACCTTGCGACGCGTCTCCTCGATGCGGCGCGAGTATGGATTGAGCACGTGCGTGCCGAACTGATGCATCTGCATAATGTTTGGCGCCGTGCAGATGGAGTAGAGCATGGTCAGGTGATCCTCAGCCGGGTACCGGTACGGGAAGGGACGGCGCACGTTACCCAGGCACAGCCGGCCCTCAGTCACGTCCACGCGCACGAACATGGACTCGTTGGTAAATGTGTACACGCCGACACCGTTACTGGAGAGGAACGAGCGCTGCACGACGTTGCCGAAGGCGTGCTGACTGGTATCCCCGGTGACTAGCGGCGCCAGCGGCTGGTCGGCGGTCCCCAGCGGCCAGCTGTCGGCCGCGGCTGACTCGGCGCTGCCGTACCACGTCTGTCCGGCCGGCTCCTTCAGACTCAGGCAGTCCATCAGGTCCACGGTTGGGCTGAGCGAGCGCCAGTCCACGCGGAAACACTGGATGCCGCGGCAGACGGGCCCCGAGCAGTTCAGTCGCTCCGGGCTCACCTGTTCCAGCGTGACCCGCGCCTGGTTCTTCCACTCGAGGCACACGCCGCGCCCCTGGGAGGTCGACTCGGCCAGGTATTTTGAGGTATGTGAGACGCGCGTGGACCGGTGCAGGCCGCAGTCGTACGGCAGGTCGTCGCTGGGCACCTCGCTGGCGATGAAGATGCGAGCCTGCTCCTCGCCTTCCGGAGATAACAGCCGCAGCCGGCGCTCCTGCTCGCTGAACTTGAACCGCCCGAGCAGAGCGTACTGCGGGACCAGAACGGGGCGAGGTCAGGCGACCGGATTGCATCCAGCAGGAGTTGATACGGTTGTACGCTGCGCTAATGCAATAAAAAAGGCGGCGAGTGACAACAGCAAATCACATGTTCCGCGATACAATGACCGTGAAAAATGACTCACACAATATACATAAATGCATGAAAACGCGGCGCAGACTAGTGGTGCCAATTTCATGAAATTTCAATTCCAATTCCGATCCAATTCCAAGAAATTGCCAAGTAAATTTCCAATTTTGTCCAAAGCGGGGACTATTCCAATTTTTAACGATTTTTGCATTTTTTGCGTAAATTTTAAAAGTGTTTAAAAGCGTTTTAAAGGCCTCCGTTTTAAAATTTTAAATTTTAAAGGCCTTCTGTTCCGATTAATTTCCAAAAAATGTTAAGAATTCCGTCCAAATTCCAAATTGGAATTGGACAAAAATTGGAATTCCAAGAAAAGAAATTCCGATTGGCACCAATAGCGCAGACGTAATTTTGTCTCCGTTTCTCAGGCGAAGTAATTAGGTAGCAGGACAAAGCTGCCCTGGATTAGGCACCGTAGCTTAGGTCATTGGTTTTGTAAGTTCACTTATATAAGCAACTAAAAATGATGGACCATTTTCGCTATTTTTGTGACTATCCCGACCTTCCCACCTCCTTTCACCTTTGACTTATGAATGTTGTACTGGAGGACGATGACGACGATGGAGGCGATGATGACAGTGAAGAGCAGCGCCATGGCCACCCACGAGAAGCGCACCTGGCTGGCCCAGCCCTTGAGCCGGCTCTTCTTCGCAGGAGGCTGGCGGCGCGACAAAGAAGACAGTCAATGATTTGCAACGCTTCGATGCAGCACATTCCTCGGTGGGAAAAATAGCCAGCCATTACAAGCGCCAAATTGTCATCTGAGAGTCTTATCCATCAGTTTATCTTGTATGTATTTTGACCGGTCGCTCGCTCTCTCGGCTCACCTTTTTCACCTCCACGGAGGGTTCTGCGGAGACCTCGTCCGGCTTGGAGGGCGGTGGATCGTCGGGCTGACCGCTCTGCCCGGCGGGACCCGCCGTGGGCCGCAGAGGGGTGTACCCGTTTGAGTCGACCGCCGGGTCAGCCCGAGCTGGACTGCTGTGAACGGCAGGGGTTAGATGAGCTGGAGAAGCTGTCTAGGTGGGGAAGATAAAGGACGTCAGATGAGAGACGGGGAACAGCCGAAATAACCGTGAAGAAAAGTAGAACGGAGATGACGGACGGGAGGAACAGAAGACGATAGAAGAGAGAGAGAGAGAGAGAGAGAGAGAGAGAGAGAGAGAGAGAGAGAGAGAGAGAGAGAGAGAGAGAGAGAGAGAGGGGAGGGAGGGAGAGAGAGCATTGTCGGACGGGGAACGACACAAAAAAAAATGGTAAAAAGCTGACGTGAGCCTCCAGATGGGATAGGTGTGAATACGATACACACATTGCATTGTATGTTCTATTTTTATCTAAAGTCGATATTGTTGTGAACTGTGTGGATTTCCGCTTCGCGGCTCACTACGGACAACGGAGCGTTTTCAGTGGATACTGTTCCGCAATACACGCGCCTGGACATAGACTGTACCGCAATACACATTACATACGCCTGCATGCAGACTAGCCCGCAGTACACTGATACGATGAAAGTAGACAACGTGTACTAGTTATCTATTCTCGCAGAATTGAGAATGATGCTGAACAAGGGAAATCATTGGGAACTGCCAAAATAAAGGTGCCTAAATGTCTCGTGGCCAACTGCTTGCGTCCATCTTACTGAAATGACAGTTGACATACAAAATTCATTATTTCGCATTTTCTTCATTCTTCAGATACGCTCGATTCTCTACCATATTATTCCACATGCCTCACTACATGCTAGCCTTAAAGGAAAAGGGCCACCTTTAACATGGGGATTGAAACTGAGATAGCCATCTTGTAGCCCGTGTCCGAAAACCTCTCTGTCTACCTCCTTACGGCCGATTTCGGCCTCCATTCGTAGTTATCGGCAATTTTAAAAGAAAATATGCCAGGAATGCGTTCTTATCCCAGGAATGCGTTCTTATCCGACAATACAGCCACCCGCGGCGAGGCTTTGGTTTTTAACCAATCAGCTTGCAGCAGTACTGATCAGGCACGGATCCCTGTACTAGCGAGCAGACCACGAGCAGTTGCGTTATTTTTCGTTGTCTGTTCTGGCAATCGGCCGGCGGATGAACATCCGCAATCGAATCTTGAAATCCGTCGCGCTGATTGGTGATGAGTTTCATGAGCTACTTTCATGAGGTCTATGAAAGTAAACCTATGCTATGCCCTGAACAGATGACATCTCGTTTGGTAGCCAATTGCTAAAATGCATTTTTATCTTACGCAAGGCAGTATACCATATTTTATACCGTGGCTCTGATCCGAAATCAGGGCATTTTTGTTCGAACAAATACCTATAATAACGATGAAGAAGTGCGTGATCCGCGGAGCAAACGACCTACGTCGGGTCGGGACTGATATGCGTGTGACTGTGCACAAGTAAGTACCTAGGTACCTAGGTAGGTACCTAAATTCTTATTTATTGCAATGGCTCTTCGATTACTTTTGTTTTCACAGAACTCTCCCCTGGTTTAGCAAACCCTTTTGAACTGTTCAGGCTTTCACAACTGAAATGCCAGACTGGATAAAAAAACGCAAGTTATGCCGAATATGTCATGCGAAGTGGCGTGATTGCGGCGTTGCCCCGAAAATTTCATCGCACATCCAGCATAATTTTGCATGCGTCAAATTCAGCGCATGGTGGCAGCTGAATTTTTAGGCGCAGGGTGACCGCATGGCGCATAATGTTTATGCAAATGGCTGTCACCGAATTTTTTGACACGCTGTGGTCAATCTAGCAGCAGACTTGCCCTGCGGGCGCTGGCAGGTCTGAAGAGAGTCGGAACTTCCGGCCTGGGCCTTGTTTCACCTTAAGATTCTACAGTGTGCCACACAAATTGTGGTATTGGGTTTTCATGGGAACATTAAAGGGACCCTCCCACCTTCAAAAAAGTTAATGAATTGGCATGAAAGTGATGTCGCTCGGTTCAGAAAGAGCGAAAACGAATATCTACCAAATTTCACCGAAAAATATTCACCGGTTTTCAAGATATTACACTTTTACTTTTGCTTACTTTTTTGGGATCTCCGCTGTTTCTAGCGACTTTATTTTAGAAGTGCGGCGTTTGCGGCAGATGCTGCGCGCAAATAGCATATACCACCGCGTGCTACAAAACGTTTTAGTCAAACATTTAAAATCGTTAGATATCTGCGCTGACGTCACACATTCAGAGGGGTATTCCTAAGCATTAGCCCCTCTGAATCAAAATGCTGCAATTTTGAAATTCAATATTTCCGATTTAAGGCATTTCTCGATGTTGTGAGTGCCGAAACCGGTAATTGTGAGCCAGGGACCCCATTTTGGCTATCTCAACTCAAATCTAATGTTAAGGTGGGAGGGTCCCTTTAACTAATTCAGACGCTCAGAAAGGGAAGAGCATCTGACTCCGAGGCCCCGGAACGATCTGTCTGGTTGATATAGCCTTGGTCGGTAGATATGCACATGTGCTTTATGCAAAAGTGGCTTAATTTTGGTGCAAACAGGCACCCAACTTTCAGTGGAAATCATGCACTGGAATTTCAGCTCAAAATTGCTTGCTTCAAATTTTGGCGCATGAGGGGCTCACGGGCATCCGGCGTAGTGTATGGATGTTTTCCAGTCTGGCTGAAAGGCAGAACTCAGACACATTTATCCAGCCCTTCAAATCCCATTTCCTGGTTGTGGTAACACCTACCTTTCCATGGGGGTTTGGTTCATCTCTTGTCTACACAGTTTTCTTTCACTTATGTGCTGACAAGAAAAGGAAACTCACCAGAGCCCAGTTTCACCAAGTGCGGTAAACTCAATTTGGGGTAAACTACCAAACTACCCCACTACTTAACTACAAAAACTACCCCAAAATTAAGTTTACCGCACTTGGTGAAACTGGGCTCAGTGGAGCTATTCAGCTTAATACACAGAGTATGTGTTGCATGGACTAAGCATGTGTTGACCCTTTTTTACTTTTAGGTTCCCGCTAAAAAAAGAAGTACAGAGAAAAGTGGATGAGGGTGTGTGGCATGACCAATGAGCCAAGACCACATGACCACTTAAACTTAACAAGAAGTGCGCACCATGATAAGCACAGTCAAAAACGTTTGCGTCTAAAGAACAGTGCTGTGCCGGATCAGAATGTAAGTTATTTTTTAAAAGTGATGAAAATGCCTGCAAAGTTATCAAAAGACTTTGAATATTGTTTTTGTAACACTTCACTCTAAAGTTATTCCTAGTACCAGACATTACAGCTTTAGTGCAGAGTCTTTATTTGTGATATTTTTAGCCAAAAATTATTACTAGTACCGAGCCCTTACATCTTTACAGCCCTAGTACCTTGCCCTTATTTTTTTATATTTTTTAGCCATTTCAACCTAACCGAATATCTGTATGTTGGTATGTTATTGTTTTGATCTGTATTTTATGCTACCTCCCTATAGGTAAGTTTTATTAAAACATGTGGTAACGGTGTGCTGATTTTTTACAGATTCCGTATACGCCTTGGGTTGCTGTCGCTGCTCGGTCACCCACAGATGAAAGTGATCAAGAAATGGACATCACTCAGGTAAGATTCAAGCGTCCTTTATTTTACACATAATACACTAAGCAGTAGCACCCTAACCGCAACATATGGGAATGCATTGCCTGGTGGGTGCCTACTGCCTACCTGTATGCCAAGTTTCAGCTAAATCGCCCCAGTAATTACAGAGTTATTGAAATGGGAACAAATTCGGCACCTCTTCTTTTTGCATTTTGCACGTGCAGTGGGGGTCACTCACATAGATCAAGAGCATCCGACCTTTGGTTGAAGGGGTGCAGCTACCCTACAAAATTTACCGCAAGACCGCCCAAGCGGCTGCTGAGATTTTGAGATGAGCCTCTCAAAATCACTTCTTTTGCAACTTTTGACAAATAACACCCTTGACTTTTCACGTGGCACGTGCCACGACGGTCCCTGTAATGTATCAAGAGTAGTCAATTACGGGGTAGAGGGAATAGGGCTAGCCAACAAAAAAAAGACCGCAGGCCAATCGGTCCAGCGGTTGCTGAGATATAAGCCTCTCAAAAGCGTTACAGGCCGGGCCGGGTCGGGCCGCTCATACTGAGCTTTTTCCGTGATATTGAAAAGACTTCGCTTCGCTCGCTCGCTCGTAATTAACAATTCATGGTTGACTATATGGATTAAGCTAAGTGATTGCGCTCTATTAGCACACTATCTAAGTAGCCCTTAATTGCTGCCGGTGCGTGGACTGTGAAAGTGAGCCGAGCTGTGACGCAAACCGTGCGCCTTTTTCAGGTGTGGGATCACTCGTGGAAGTTCACGGCGGATACGGAGCCGTGCATGCAGCTCTGGTTCGATCCTGCTCAGGGAAGCCCCAATGACGCCGTGGCGCGCATCTGGGCTGAGCGGGTGGTGGCGGCCGGTGCGCGGGCGCTGCCGCGTGGCTGGTGGCCGCGGCCCTGGCGGCAGCGGCCCGCTCCTGACCCGGTCGCCCTGTGCCGAGCACAGAGCGCCGACTGAGGTCAGTCTTGTGATCGAGCTTCCGCGCCGGAGGTGGAACAGGTGGAGCTGGCGGTCACCTGCGCGGGCTCGGCGGCCTGTAAGCCGTGCCGAGACGAACCGCGACACTCTTGCTAGATCTGCACCCCATTGTAATCTTCTGTAGTCGATATTCGGTAGGTACTCAATGCTCATTTTTCTGATATTAGACGAGTGGCGGGTTTTGATGTTACATTGGAGACTGCTGTCTCGGGTGGCCCGACAGTGTTCGATTGTGGTGTAATGTAGATACATAGACGGGATGCCGCGGCTCGGATTCGTAGCTGGACTACCATGTGCCTGTCGATTGAGATGCTTTGCCTGGCGATTGAGATGATTCGGGGCGCGGCCCCACACTGACGCCATGGTGCAATGAGTGATTGGCGACAACTAAGCAATTATGTACTTTTGTAGAACACATGTTTTCATGGATACGAGAGGCAGTCCTTTTTTCGCTAGCAGTCATTTGGTTCACGATACTTTCGATACCGACAAATATGTTCGGGCGGCCGGTCCGTCCACAGCTAATGCGTGCTTGCCCGCCGATGCCTAACGGAGCGCTGTGCTGTCTACGCTCACTGGTCGCTGACCCGAGAGCCGTTCGGTTGCTGCTGTTAAAACAGTTCTCACAAAAACACGCTGGCTGGCTGCCAGTTCTTCACCAATGAGAGGCCCAGTAGCATCAGCAGGTAGCATTGTTTAATATTACTATTCCATTTTGTTTACCCATATGTCCGACCTAGAGCCGACTGGTAAAAAGCGGCAACCGAGCAGCCCTCCGCAGCGCTGCAGATCATGTACGCTCGATTATACACAATATATGTGTCTTTCTTGCACACAGAGACATGACGTTTTGTAGAGCTTTTATATCGCTTGTGGCTGAAAGGAATATTGTACATTTTAGAGCTTTCATATACGCGAGAAAATATGGTGCAAAAAAACATTTATGAAGCCTGTTGAATTTTAAAGGTTGTTGGGGCATTTCACAGACTGTGTCGGTGGGCAGGGCAGCCCGGCCCCGGCCGCCGCCGCCGCCGCCTCCTTCACTGGTATGTGGCAGGGACGGAAGCTTCGTATTGATATACCGGGGTGCAACTCAAGCAGCATATCACCTATCAAACAACCTTCGGTTATGAAGTGAATGAAAACTAAATATTATGTATAACTGTGATCTGCGCTGCGGTGTTTCCAAAGTGGAGGAAGTACGGGGAGCTGGACCCGGACTCGATGAGCCCTCTACTACGGATCTGGGTCTTCGCAGCTGATCGTCTGTGAATGAGAGATCATATGATACCAATGCATACCGAACGGATCAAAAACAGTGCCATTATATATTTGCAATTCTACAGCTTTACGTAAGCCCATCCTAGTGAATGCATTAATACGCGTTGATTTGACAACTGACATCCGGTTGAAGGCGTTTTTTTCGGCCAACAGCCGGCCAGCAGTTGTTGCAGGCCGGCCTCGTTGGGAAGCAGGTTCATTTTCCGACAGCCACTGCGTGCGGAAGCACTCTCTGATGGCGCGGACGGCGTAACAGTAGGCCCGAGTGGTGGCAGAGTCGAGCGTCGCGGCGCGGCAGAGCGCGCGGCGCGGCCGCCGTCTGTTCCAGCTCGGCGTCGGCGCGCCCCTCGGCGAACAGCAGGTGCAGCTGACGGTCGGCCAGGCAGAAGCCGCTGATGCCAGGTGTGCTGACGTCGCCGGGCCGGCGCGGCGCGGCGCCCTCGGCCGCCGCCGGGCTGGGCGGCTCGTTGAGCTGCTGGATGAGCTGCAGCACGCCGCTGCGCTGCAGGCCGCGCTGCGAGACGACGGCCAGCAGGCGGCCGTAGGCGCAGCGCGCCGGCGCCGGCCGCGGCAGCAGGTCCAGCGGCACGGCCAGCGACACGGAGACGGACAGCTGCGCCGCCGACTGCAGCAGCTGCAGCGGCCCGAACGGCGGCGGACACGTGCCGCGCTCAATGTCGGCCGCCGGAGAGGCAGCCGGTCCGGCCGGCACCGCTGTCAGCGGCACCTCCACACTGAGCAGACGCACGCCGCGCGTCAGGGCAGAGACGTCCACCACCACCTGCCGCGCACACAGAGGGCCGACAGTGGTGACAGCGCGCGGCGGGTCAGACCTCACAGTGGGGATAGCGGCAGCGGGTCAGACACCCTTATAGAACAGCACGGGGCGGAGCCGACAAGAGGACGAGGAGACGGTCATACAGCCGACTGAGGTCCGGGCACCGACTGACTCAAAGTGCTGAACATGTCACACATTTCTAAATGGCTTCTGTAGGACGGAATAGTGTCTCTTCCTTCCAAGGCTTACTTGCAGAATAATATGGAAAGACACAATTTTACAAGTTGTGTTTTTATGACATAAGTTCTTTATAACATTTCAACACGCAAACATCATACCTTGACAATTGTTCACGATGAAGATCATGCAGGAACATTTCATATTTAGTCACCCTTGATTATTTTGTTGATAGTGATGCGAAAGGCAAATTACCAAAGTATATATTTGCAATTATTTGAGTTAATAATTTCAACTTTTTTGGTGTTGAAAATTGACTTTTGAAACAATAAAGGCAAATGAATTATCAGTGTCTGGAAAGGTGCAATGCTGAAAGCTTCTTATTACATTCTAATTTATATCTAAAGCTTTGTGATATCCAAACTCTCAGAAATAACCAGGGACGTAACCAAGGAGGGGGGAGGGGCACGGGAGCCATGCCCTCGGGCCCCTTCCCCCCTCGGTGATGGCGATTTTTTTTAAAATAAAAACAGCTGTGACACACCCCCAAAATAGTGGGCCTAATCAGAGAAATTTTCCTTTTTTGGAGGGGGTACAACACTAGGCCACAACCTGTGACCCCCCCCCCCCCTGAGCAAAATCCTGGCTACGTGCCTGGAAATAACAAAGCACATCCTATCCTTTGATGTTGGACGCAAGAGCCAAGTTGCTACGCGCCCTAACCCATAACAACAACAACATCCTATCCTTTGATGCCACTTACCAGCAGCTTTGCGCACTACCAAACAGCCACCTTTGGGCCTTTGTTGTTCTTGTTTTGGGCATTGTCAGTGGTAACTGGAAATAATCAGACATGATGGTCAGAGTAGGGAATGTGACTACAACAAAAATCATTTCATTCCTATAAAATAGACATGATTTAATAGAAGACCTTCTTCTTAAGAAAGTGTGTCATGGATACCAGCTAATCTGTATGGTATTTATCTCCAGTATTATCATATAGGTATAACAATTATCACCACCCGCCACCATTGAATGTAGGTTTTAGGTTGTAGGTTGTAGGTGGTAGGTTGGGTATCGGTAAAGCTGGTGTCACCGTCAGCGCTAACCGGTAAATGTGTAGATAAAAGGAATCTTAAAAACAATCTAACCTAACCTAACCTTACCTACTGACCTGCAACCTACCTACCCACAACCTACCAAACTAATATACGCTGACAGTGATGCCAGCTTTACCAATGCCGTACGTTGTAGGTTGTAGGTAAGGCTAGGTCAGGTAAGATTATGTTTCATTATATATTTACTGAGAAGACGGCTGAATGCTCTTGAGACGTGGCTATACATTTACATTTTGTAAGTAATTTTCAGGTTTCAATGAATATTTCCTAGTGGAATGTTTTGAAAACCATTCTAAATGATGACCTTTAGCATTCCATAGTACTTTAAAGCTAATTAACCACATCGCCAATGCTAGGTCACATTGCATGCCTACTTCCACCGGCAGCTCCATGGGATATATGATAGGCAGGGGTAAATGGAATATTTTTTATTAATATTCTTGAAGAAAATTATAGGCATGAAAAGAAGATGATCTGCCTTTGAGATTGATATGTGATGCCTACTTTGGAGGAACATCATAATAATTACACAATCATAAAAAATGCAATGTAACCAAACAGCCGCTTATGCCGCAAAATGAGAATCAAGCCAATCACTGAGGACAAACAATTTCAAACCACCAAAACTATATTCTTGCTATTCACCAATAATCCTAAAATAGCGTTCCATGGCCATTATATCCATCTTTCACCCTTACCTTCGACAGATAACTAGCGCCACGGGCAGACACACGGGGCGACAAGTTGTTTACAACCGCTACAGTCCGACGAGTCTATCCTCCTCAAGGCCGATTGGCTTGAGTGTGACGTCATTGCTATGACATCATACAGTAGCTGCGGTAGAGAGTATAAACATAGTACCAATATGTTAAATAGTTTGAAATACTTTTTAGCGAATTATGCACTTCTGGCACCGGTTTTGAAAAGAAAATGGAAAATAATAATGTCAAAATAAAAACCAACGATATCTTCATATTTCAAGAAGGTGGCACTTTTCCTTTAACATAACCAAATTTACGTCCAACTGTCGATCCAGAACGGTAACCTCCCGTGCCGCTGTGAACTAGACGCGCCTCTGTGCACGGCGCGAGCGAGCGTCGCACCAACAACGTCACGTGGTGTCGGATGGCGTCATCACCACCCGGTCACGTGGGCCATCGGAGCCGCGGAGGGCTCGTAGTAGGTGCGATCAGCTGACTGAGTCGAGGTCAGCTGACTGCCGCCTAAGCACCGACCGTCTCCGGCTGGACTGAGATGAGAACAATGGAGGCGATGACTGGATCGAACCGCTCCATGGCGGGCAAAAATCGTGCAAGGCGGCGATCGAGCAGGAAAGTGGTCATTGAGGAAAACCCATCGCTCTTCAGCCATTCACCACCTGGAAAGTAACTGATGTTACCAGGGGCGTCGCCACGGATTTTTGAGTGGGGGGGTCGGGTTTCTAGTCTTCACCCGATGGGTAGGGGTGTTTTTTTGCCACACTTCCCAGTTTTGAGCGTGCGTATGTGTGTATGTGTGCGCGTGTAACAAATCGGCGCGCAGCGCCGCGAAATTTGGTATAGGTAACCTATTAGGTAGGTATACCTACCTACATCACTTGCGTAAAAATTATCACTGGTCACTTAAGGCCAGGTCGCCATGTCAAGCTCAGTTATACGGTATATACCTCTATCAAACTTTCCCCTCTCGCCATTCTTGTAGCTTTTCTCCCATAACTTCGAAATTTGGTACACTGTATACCTAATGTATGGGGTTATACGTGTCAGCAATTCATGATTCTGAGGATTTACATGTATGATCTGGAGGCAGGTCAAATACGTGACCTCATCATTAGAAAATAATGAGAAATTAGAAAAAGCACGAATGCCTCCTGCTTTGAAAAAGTTCGTCAGAAACGCAAAATATCTTTGGAGCCATGACAAATCAGCTCATCATTGCCAGGGACAGGGTCCAACTTATGGCGAGTGATGACTCGAAAGGTCATTAGTGGAAATGTCCATCGATGGCCTCCAGCATTTTTTCTACAACTTTTGACGAAGACGCGGTAGAGCGATGACAGCACCTGGAAGGTGTTCACTGTTCAGCTCAACAACACGGATCCATTCATATGCAGCAGGAGGTCCGTTTTCGATCAGGACATAACGTTGACCTGAGGTCGTTTTAACGTTAATTCTGAATGGTCAAATTTTAACTTTGTGACGCGTCTCAAAGAGATAAACACGGTGGTGACAAGACAACATATGTTGTAAATACCATACAAATTCACGGAATCTAAAGTTATTGCAAAGCAAATGTTTCGGCAGAATCTGTCCAGTTAGCTGTTTGCCTTCTATGGGCAAAACATAGACCTGAGATGAAATCTGACGCGAAGCTAGCGAAAGAGCGTTGAAAGAGCTATCGAATATGTTTTCTGCTTCGCTGTAGCCCTTCTATTGGTGGGTTCCCAGTCGCTAACGTATAACGTATACTAAAGTACCGCTGAGGTATGCTTTCGACCCCTGATCGATCTAGAGGTTTGCGGAAAAAAGAGCATGCTGCCCGTGACGAGAGAAAGCCGATGATACCCATTTACAAGGTTTCGGGTCATCTCAGGACTCAGGTCATCGCCAATAAGTAGGGAAACTCGGGACCTGCTAGAACTTTGCGAATGTAAGTTGTGATGGTTTTTCGAGGTTCTGATTACGAATGTTATTTTAGTTTTGAACGAAGATGACTCCATGCATTTGGGGTAGATCAGGTCAGGTCAGATCGACCAGTACCTAATAGTGGATGACCACCACCGATTGCTTCTTAACATGTTATACATATGCATAAGCAATACAACTACTTCTTAAATGTTCAGATGGGCGCTAAGTTCAAAATCAGCTTCAAAAACTATCCTATACCTAAATTAAAAGCATGTTATGAAAAAGTGAACCAAGGTCATCTTTATTTGAATCAAGGATATCTATTTATTTTTAAGTAGATGATTAACTCGAGCGCACCGGAAGTTTCGTTGCAATCGGCTCCTTTTTGCGCGAGTTCTTTGCTCTTTGCGAAAGCCCGAGATGGTTTCATCTGACTCCCTTTCCCCTACATGTGCACTGTACATAGTCTGTACAGCTACTTGTGACCAGTAGCAGCGGAACACCTTCAGTTAAGAGGGGGCACTGCCGACTTTTGGTCCCATTCTTTCCATGCAACGCCCATAGGGCTAATGTTGAAATGTCAAAATCAAAGGGGGGCACGGTGCCCCGGTGCCCTCCCCGTTCCGCCGCCTATGCTCGTGGCGGTAGCCATGGGACTGAGGCTAGTTTGTAGTTTTGTAGTTAGGTACTGATCCGACGAATCGACTGCGACCATTTTTTTTAAGATCAGACGAACGCTCGGGGCAGTTTTGGCGCGTCCAATCCTTTGAGGGATAAAAAGGTACTAGAATGGTGGCTACTTAAAAAATATTGTTGTGCTGGTGTTCCCCGCCCACAGCTATTTGAACTTTAGGTAATTGGCTAATTGGCTTTAGGGAGCTCTTGAAGCGAATCTGAATCTGATGTATTTGTTGCTGTTGCTGACGCCTGCTTCACTGACATAAAAGCTAAAAAAGCATACTCAGCATCGCAAAAAGTGGGGGGGTCGACACCCCCAGTTTTCAAGAGTGGGGGGGTCACGACCCCCCCGACCCCCCCGTCGGCGACGCCCCTGGATGTTACTGTAAAAAAAAACGAGGTTTCCAAACCGCCATCGTATTTTTGGCGGGAACCCATGAATTTACCTATATAGATTGTAGATAGTTTATAATTATTTTTCTTTTTATTAAAAAAAAACTTATGGGTGTATTCCTTACAGCTTTCATAGCTAGTTCCACCGCAAACGGACAGGGTTTTCGCCTGGGCCTGGTTCAACCACAGCGTCATCATCGGCCATCAGATTGGCTATTACCACGCTGATGTCCGCCGACGCGTCAGCTCATTGAGGACGGGGCGCCTCACCTGTTGGGCGCAGCGCTTGAAGAAGCCACTCCGGCTTGTCTCACCTATTGGGCGCAACACTCGAAGAAGTCTTTCCGGTACCTATGTTATGTGTCTCAACTATTGGGCGCATAGTAGCGCTTGAAGAAGTCACTCCGGCTCTTGTCACCTGTTGGGCGCATAGTAGCGCTTGAAGAAGTCACTCCGGCTCTTCTCACCTGTTGGGTGCATAGTAGCGCTTGAAGAAGTCGCTCCGGGTGGAGCAGATGGTGTCAGTGTAGTCGCTGTCCTTGCCGTCTAGCGAGCCTTGTAGACTGCTGCAAAAGCAGATCACGGGAGGTCAGGTGGAGAGCACTCAGACCACTGGTCATGCGCCAACGTTTTCATCGGTTATCGGTCACAGGACAGCCTTATAATGATTCCGTAATTGCACTGTGTCGTTCATTGCTTATTTTTATTAGACGGAAAATCCTTTAATTCTCGCTAATATTCTTACAAATTAAAAGGATTTTAGCTAAAACAGAACAATGCAATCAAAGATTGAATCAGATAAAAAGAGGAACTGCGACTTAACATAAGTAAAAAATATTTTATCGACTTGATGTGCCTACCTAAATTATCACGATTTGAACCGAATGTGCCCACTGCACATTTTGCTTTGGGATGGACTGAGCGATTTATGCATCAACTTTTTTGTATTTTTGCCAGAGTGTCAGTGCTACGGGTCGGGACGGAGATGTCCCTCATTTTCCTTGTACGTTTTACAGTGTGCGCCTATTTTTATTTCAGTTCGATCACCAGTCCGACTCCACGTTTCGGGATGTTTGTCTTCGTCTCATTGCGTAACTCTGCCCTCTCAGCACGGGCGCAACTCCGCGCCGGGCGATGATGTTTTGAACAGACACACACCGAGCGAGACGTTATCGACGCCACTACCAATGCAACACAGCGTGTTTCTGTTTCTCAAGCAAACAAACGCAACACCTCTCCAGATCAGTGTGGCGTCGTCCCTGTCAATCGGACACGTGTCAGCTATGACCCAATTCTCACCGAGCCCTGCCGGCGTAATGTGCGGTAAACTCTGACCTATGTGACGGAGACCGTCCCGGCCCCACACAGCTGTTTATCATGATAGACGCGGGACGTAAAAACCACAGAAATGATCGCCTTTATCTGAAGCTAAGGCCATGTCGTGCACACGCCAAGGCGCTCACCGTAGGTAGGAGCACGACCGTCTCACGAAGGCGAGTCCGTCTCAAAAGTAGGTATAAAGTGTGATATAGAGGGAATGTGAGGGAATAGGAACCCATCAACAGATGTAACTATAATGAAGGAATGGGAACTCAGCGAGTGTCACACTTTTACGTGCCACAAGGCACAAACACACATGAGCACCACAACAGCTCAGTCATGTAGGAATTGGAAAGCTCTACGCTGTGTCAGCCGCTTATCTGACCGGACGACGGATGTCCCGTCTGGCCTCCTATCAACCCCACACGATTTGTCATGAAGCAGAACGTTGGGGATCCCTCGGGCGCACTTCAGACCGTGCAGTCGGCTGCTGCGCTAAGGAAAATGTCACGTGACACGCGTGCCGCGCCAACGAAGACAGGTGACGTCACAGAGGCCGGAGTCGGCGGGGCAGGGTTAGGTCACCGGCCGGGGAGGGATATGCACCGTCAGCTCGGGACCCACAGAGCACGTGGTTTGTTACCACATATCGGACCGAGTCGTGTCACAATGAAGGTCGTTGGAATAATAAGTCACCGATCGGTCGACGGTCGACGTTTTATCGAGTTTTAGCGTTTGAAATAGATTGATAGACGCTGAAAGCTGACTAGAGTATGCATATTGATATGGCTCATGGTTATGGAGAACGGGCAAGTGGCATGACTGGTCTATAATGGAGATGCAAGTTTATACAGCGCAGCGACATTCTGCAGTAACGGCAAATTGTAGGTATGGTGGTTTGGACTCCTGTTAGACAGGCTATTCGCTCTTAATAATTTAACTCTGTGAGCCGAACTACCAAGTTCTAAGCATAAAGCGACATGAAAAATAGGCTGAAAACTTACTAAGGTGAAGGATTGTGTCCCATCATGGATTATGAAGTCACATTACTCGTTGAGACACTAAGCTGCACGGCACATTTCGCGTGTGAATCACTGCAGCACAGAACTGGAAAACACCTGTTACACCTGCCAGGACCGCAGCGCGACTAGTGGTCTATGGCTGTAGCTCCGCCTCCCCACCTGACTCGGCCCACAGCTGCCGTGACAGTCAGTCCTGCGCGCGCCGTCTCACCTGGGTTTGGAGGCGGCCTGTGAGCCCGAGTCGGAGTCGGAGGGCGGCGGTGGTGAGTCGTCCGGCGAGCCCTCCAGCAGCGCGCCGTCCGAGTTGCTCATTCGCCGGCTCTCTCCCGGCTCCTGTGCGGTCACAGACGGGTCACTGGCGGCCGCGGGCGGTGCCGGCGGCGGTCCGCCGAGCGCGGCCGTCGGCCCCGGCTCGCTCATCACTGGCACGGCGAGTGGGTGCCACTGGCCGTGGCCGGCGGCCGTGCCCGGCCCAGACCGGCTGCCGAGCCGGCCTCGGTGGCACCTGCCCGCCCGCCGGTGGCAGAGGCGCCGCCAGGAGCCAGTGCACGGGGAGCGCCGGCGGGGACCGGCCCGACGGGCCAGGGCGCACACAGCCGCTATTTGAGTTCGGAAGTGGCCAAAATGCGATAACTCGTTAACCAGTTGACATTTTGCCAAGGAATTTTTATTGTATGTGAAGTCAACCGTAAGGTCACATATGGGAACGTATGAGCATCCATGCTGATACATCATTGCCGTAAAAATATTTTTGCTTGTAATCCGCGGATGACGGGTATATCCCATAACGTGGGTGACTCGGGAGGGGTTTCTGCATAGCTTCCCTGCTGTCTTGGAAACTACTCGTTCAATACTAAAAGTTCAAACGGCTTCTGATAGGAATAGCTGACAAACGAAACCTAACTTTGTCACAAAAGGTCATGGAAAGGTCATGGGTCACAAAAGGTCATGGGAAAGGTCATGGAAGGAAATGTATACATTTTTAAGGTCATGCGACACATCTTTGATGGTCCATTTCGGCAAAAGCATCAAAAAATGATGTCATCTGGGTCGTCCGATTCGAAACTATTTCCATTCGACAAATGAAGGTCATGTCACGGCGAGGTCAAAAAGGTCAAATTTTGAAATTGAACATTCTCAACAAAAAATATGTGCATCGGATGCAATTTGAGCTCTGGAACACGATGATGCTATTCGTTTTGGTTTTCGATGTCAAGAACGTACTGAAATTGCCTTTGCAATATCGAAAATTGTGATTAACCGACTACGGTACGTAAAATGCAAAAGCCGATAACATCGCCATTTCTGAAGATATCTGACCGAAACTTTCCAAAAGTAACGCAAATGTTACATAAAGGTTCATTCTGGTCGATGGCTGCTCCCCAAAACTCTGAATGTTATCAGCCATTTCGGACATTCTTACGATGTTCTGTTGGCTGGATGTCTTTTTGCTTTATTGAATTTGATCAGACTATACATTCAGTTAAGACGACGTACATTTATTGGTCACCAGAAAGTATATCCACAAGTCAATCGACAATCGACAACCAACAAATGCAATCGACACGAACGTCGAGCACCCGTCAGCACAAGCAGCTGCCGGGGGCGATTAGACGGACCGCGCTCCTCTCTCGCAGCTGATTGGTCAGCTGCCGAACCGCACGGACGTCAGCTGCGCGGCCGCCGCCCGGCCGACCTGACCAGGGTCGGCCGGGCGGCGACCTAGCGTCACTAGAACTGCAATAACTTTTGCCGGCAGTGTGATGCCGACCTAATTTTTTCAGAAAATGAATCACAATTGTACGGTATATGTTATGGACGTTGTCTCGATGTGAAGCACGCTGTGCGTTTTTTGGTAGGCCTATGTGAATATTGAAATCCTCAAGCCCTTCTGCTTTGTGCAAGTGTGCAACAATTAGCTTACAATAACTGAGTGGGAAGTTTTTTAGATGCACTTTTGTTACCAATGGATTCCGCACATTTTCCTCTTTCAGCTGATATCTTACTTACGCATTTTCAAGCAAAGAATATGACAGGAGACTCGTCAACATTTACATGAAAATCGCAGCACAAGTTCGGTCTCACGGAGCAAAACAAAACGGTGTACTTTGGGAGCCCACCAATATGTGCCAGAATGAGTAATATTTTTTCTTGATGATATTTTATACAGTCTGATCAATTTACGACCAGAAAATGTGAGAAAATCACGCTTTAAAATTTGTCGAAAATCAGGGTATTGGCCACTTCTGAACCCAGATAGCGGCTGTGTGGGGCGGCGCACTATCGGTGGACGGAGACCGAGGGAGGGGAGGGGCGGCCGCGGAACTGGACTGGGGGGAAGGATTACCGGATTACGGCGGTTATGGATCTGAGTGGCAGCAGGCGCTGCCGAAAGACGGCACTCACGTATGAATTAACCCTCGCCCGCACATGCCATTTTCCCATCCTAGAACGCACATTGCGGGGGGGGTGGTTGCCACCCCCCCCCGCGCCATTTCGTTCCTGTTGGAGATAGAGCTTAGCGGTAAGGATCAAAAAGATTCTTTGGGAAGAGACGAATCCAATGATACCCAGTTTTACCTTCTCAGGTCAGTCATTGACCTTCCAGGTCAGGTCAAACTAAAAAATGTTGCTGTTTTTGGTCACCGTTGGATATCAAGTGCGCTGCTTATCAAATACCGATGACGATGCTGTTTTCTGGTGCCAAGCCAGCTAGAACCTCTTTGTCACACTACCCGACCAGAATTTTGCTGCTGAGGTCATTTCAGGTCAAGTTAGGTCAAGGTCAATTATATGTTTTTGTATGTCTGTGTGTGTCTGTGTGTATACTGATGTGTGCACCGATTGTTTTTGGGTCTATGTTACATGAAATCATGATCTGAGAAGCTTTTACCAAAAATACAGCCAAAAAACTTCACAAAAAGTAAATTCGGCTTGCCTAAAACGCAATTATCTTAGATGACCTAGGTTGACCTTGACCCTGACCTTGACCCCTGTACATCGTCGCACAACATGTTCCATGATAGGTGGGAGGTAAGACTGGCAAAAAAGGCCGAAATCAGGGTGTCAAAAGCTCACAAGGCCCATGGCAAACGCAAAATGTTGAGAATTGGCCATTTGGGTCATGACATGACCTGAAAAACAAGGTCATATCTCCGAAACCAAAAATCACAGAAACTTGAAATTTTTAGTGGACATCAGGAAAGGATAGAGGAGCAGCTATACGAAAAATCAGCCTTTTAGCTAAAAAAATGTTGAGTGCAGAGCAGAAAGACTACCTGGGGGGTGGCAACCACCCCCCCCCCCCCATGTGCGGGCGAGGGTTAATGGTCGAATGCGATATAATTTAATTAAGAGGTGCGTTGGTAGACGTGAGCTACGTCGCATGCTCGAGGTTATATATTGGAGGCTATTTATTTGTTGCTGTGATCAGGTGATGATCCTTCACCCATTGAGGTGATATTTGATATACCTAAATTACATTTTCAAAAATTACTCAAACCGTGATACAAAGGAGACATGCAAACGTCCCTCCCAATACTTAGATGATATTGATCAGTTGTCTTATCCTGTTATGTGAAACTTTTTAATCCGAGTCATTTCACGTCAGTTCATCAGGTCACGGACCCACGTTAGGTGACCCTAGCTTCACAATAAGATAAACGGATCGGCGATCCCCATGGCCACTTTCCGAGATTGGTCACGCTAAGGAACAACAATAAAATAAATGCACTAATGCATCCACTTTGGCTCATCAATTAAGTTAAAACTTGAATTGCATTTACAATGAGTGGATAACAGTGACGAGGTGCATATCCTTGTTTTGAAGACTCGTTTGTGCTGGACTGGCATGACAACTCACTCTAACCCTTCCTGTGGTTTTTCCTGAGTAGCAAGAAAACGGCGGCGCACTGCGCCGCCAAATTTTCAGTACCTTCCCGGGCATTAATTTGACACCTTCACACAAAATTTCAAGTCTTAGGTCACTTTAGGTCAGGAGTTATTGAGGTTAAACTGAGGTCATGTTCGAGCAAAAATGAGCATAAAACATGCAATCTTGAAACGCTCACCAAATCTACAGTTACCAAGCACTTTCAAAGTTCTTTATGTGGTCATGTAGACAAAAAGGGGCGCTACAAAACTGCTATCTCAGATTTTCAAAATTTTGGGTTTTTGACCCCCCAAAATTCAAAATTGATTTCTTTAGAAAAACTATTTAAAAAATCCAAAAAAAATCCGAATTTCGAAAAACCGGAATATATGTGATACTCCCTGCGCTCTTCGATATACAGGGTGTCCGGAAAGTTCTGGCGCTTTTCAACATTTTCTAAAACAAATGCCATTGGTTCATAGATACTAATCAATGGATCAAAACAATGACCAGGGACACCAAGCCACATGCTTCCGCTACGTGCTCATTCAATGTAACCACCGTCGGCGCCGACGACGGCCTCGACGTAGGGGAGGAAGCGTCTGCGGGTTTTGACGATGCGGGGCATTTCCAGGTCCTCCCATGCTGTCATGATGCGAGTCTTCAGCGACTCCAGGTTGGGGTGAGAAATGGCCTAGATCCTGTTCTACAAAACGCGTAGCACGCCTTAGTCGAGCGGGTCAGGTTAGGAGAATAGGGCGGCCTGATCTCATTTCGCCACGGTGATCTGGCCCGGCAAGCTCCTCTGTCAGTTTAGCTTGAATGGCAGCGGCGTTGTTGGAAAGTGCTCTGTGCTGTTGAAATGCGAAGTGACCCTTAGGGCATGTCGTCTTGACCCTCGGGTTGATGTGGCTGTCCAGGAACCCCTCGTGGGCCAGCCTGTTATTCATTTATTCGACATTGGCGAAGATGATGGGACATTTTTGTCCATCAGACCCCCGCACTTTCTTCGATTGCCGCGCTGAAATGCTGCTCCGTTCCCATATCGCGTTCGAAACGGTCTGAGGATATTTTCTAAGGAATTCCCGAGTCGAAATAAACCTTTACCTGCTAAACCATTCATCGAAAAACGCCGCATCGCGCTGCAGCTCGAGCCTCGTTCAAGTCGCACCCGGCCGCCGCGCGCAGGCATTCAGCGACAAGGCGCATCTTCGCCCATCTACCCATCACTGAAAACGATTTCAAGGTCATATTTACACGACCTCTGGCTGAGCAATCAACGAGGGGTCATGTCTGTGATGATTGGCTGAATGTCCAGTAATCACAGCGCGCGTTACACGGCGTCCAAAAGAAGCGCCAGGACTTTCCGGACACCCTGTACATACCAAATTTTAGATCAATACCACCTTTTTTGGCTAAGTTATAGCGAAAACACTGTTCAAAATTGATGACGTCAAATTTTTAACTCAATTTTTTTTTATAGCAATTCTAGCCCTCGCCCGTAAACGGCGATCTGCCACCTTCGCCCATGCAGGGGGGGGGGGGTTGGTGCGACCCCCCCCCTTGGCGTTTGAAAACGGAGCGTCGTAGAGCTTAGCGGAAAAGACCAACGGATTGCTCTCGCCGAGATCTCGCGATTGGTGGTATATTTTTTGGTCCTAGGTCAACATTTGACCTACTTTTGACCGGTCAAAGGTCAAATTTTCGGAAAAATAGACTTTTTTCAACTTTCCGCGGCGATTGCGGCAAAACGGTGGGAGATATCGACTTGAAACCTTCACTATCGTGTTCCTTGATCAATTCTCTATCGTTTGGTATGTATTTCGTTTCCCTAGCTCTAAAAATGGCGCGTTGGGAGCGCCGGAAGTCGGCAAGGTCACAGTCGGCGGCAGAAATTCGAAAAATCAAAATTTAAATTTTTGAAATCTGATTTTATTTTTTGATTTGGGAGGTCCATTTGCTCCCTATAGAAGCTAATATTGCTGCATATTCCCATTGAGGTGACAAGAATTAGCAAAATAGTGGTTCGGGCGCTTTTCAAAAATAGAACCGGACGCTGTTCCTCTTGTGACGTCATAGCTCCGTGACCTGACCTGACCCGGTCAAGTTTCTTATACCATATGATAGCCAATACTTGCCCCAACATGCATGGGAAGTTTCATCACGATCCATCAACCGATGTCCGTACCACCGGCAGGAAACCTCGGGCGTTGGCACTCAGTTTGTGAAAATCCGGCCGGAGGCTGTTCCCTTTGTGACGTCATAACTCCGTGACCTGACATGACCCGGTCAAATTTTTTTTATCAAAAGATGCGCAAGGCTTGCCCCATAAGGTACCCAAAATTTGGCGGCGCTGCGCGCCGCCGTTTTTGCACTATTCTCGAAAAACCTCAGGGGGGGGGTTGCACCAACCCCCCCCCCCCTACATGGGCGAGGGCTAGACCACGTAGCGCAAAACAAAAACCACCATTGAACTCCCCGTGACGAGCTGCATCGATTCGATACCCATTTTATGCAGAAATGTCAACTTTGAAATTTGACCTAATTTGACCTGACCTTGACCTGACCTTGACCCGACCTTCACCAGAACATAATCTAAACTGACCCCAAAGGCTGCCTGACCCACATAATCGTATTTGGCATATAAAATGGACCATAACACATGCATCACATGATATTTTCATATTGTGACCCTCAGTGACCTGACCTCTGTGACCTGACCTGGTATCAGTGACCTCAGATTGCAAAATATGTGTTTGAAAAACATTTCCCCATCGATGATTTTCAATGAAATGCATTTTACTCGATTTTACAACGCATTTCTTGAAATGCCTGTAAACGGTGAAAATTCGGCCTTTGACCTGACCTGTGACGTCATCGGTTTGACCTAGGTCAATAAAATTGGGTCGCAAGGTAGCTCCCTGATGGGACTATCCAACACGGTTTGCCGCTTTCGCTAGGTTGCGTGGTTCTCGAGATCTTAGGGGGGGGGGGGCAAATATTGCCCCCTCCCCAGTAGGGCGCGTTGCTCGGCAGACCCCAACGGGGCGCGGGTTAACAAGACTAGGATTTTCTAAATGCATAACAAGTGAGGTCGAACTGGATGTTTTTTATTATAATGACTATACGTTTTGAGCTGTACGCCTCCGTAATGATTCCGTAGGTAGTCTATTGAATAAGTAATGGGACTTTGGCAGTGTAAGGTTCCTCGAAAATAGTAGTTAACTATGCAACTTATCCCTAGGTATGTCTAACATACTATAACAGGATATAACAGGATATAGTAAAACCTACCTACTCACATTCATGCATACATGAATGCTTGCAAATTGCATTGCATGATGTAGCTTTATCACGCCTCCAATGTTCGAGAAATTCTTGACAACCAGGACAAACAGACAATGAAACAGACAACATTCTGTCCGCGGCTCGGCTGATAAAATGCCCATATGTCCTCAACACATTTACCCACGGATTTAGGCGGTGCGCCTGCGTGCTTATCGGCATTGGACGTTGCCATATCAGGGAGCACTCGGTGAAGATAGTGTGAATGACAGAGCTATCTTGTTTTATGTAGGTCTCTAAAGGCAGTGCAGACAATCAAATAAACGGTTAACGGGTCGCAATAAAATCAGTTCACTTGTAAGAGTTGATACTTCAGTTCTTAGTGCGCCCCGCATGAATAAGCTCTCTGATCCCTATTCCGGGAGGGCTTAGAAAGGTTCGGTTTCGGGAGGTAGGCCTCTCCGGTCCCCCTCAGATCTAAAAAAACACGTATCTGTGATCGGAGTGGACAAAAAGGTAAACGGCGTTTGATAGTTCGCCGCTGAAAGGCCTACAACTTTAATAACAAATAGGTACTTCGAATGAGGTCAATATTGAGGTCACTAGGGCTCATCAAAAATATAATAAGCTGACCCCTAGGTACTGACTCTCTGTTCGATCACCACTAACCCCAGGTGACCCCACTGACCCCCTACTGACTCCCCCCTGACTCCCATTGACCCTCTGACCGGCAACGGAACTAATCCTTTAACCGTTAGATCCTTTAGCTGACCACGATCCGCTAACCGACCCGCTGACCTTGCACTGATCCCACTGACCCTCCATTGACCTCCTCTGACCCTGCTGACACATAACTGATCCAATACTGACCCCACTGACCCCCCCCCCCCCCACACACCCACACTGACCTCCACTAACCCGCTGGCTGACTCCAATCTGACCCCTCACTGACCGTCCGACTGACGGTGACCAGGTGACCTCCTCTGACCCCCCTGACCCTACTGACCCCCAGTGACCTCCTTTGACCCTGTGGCTGATGGCGACCAGGTGACCCCCTCTCACCCCTCACTGACCCTCTGGCTGACGGTGACCAGATGACCCCTCTGACCCCTCTAACCCCTCTGAACCCCTACTGACCCCTTCTGGCCCTCACTGAACCCCCACTGACCCTGACCCTCTCTGATCCCTCACTGACCCTCTGGCCGGCTGTGACCCCCTCTGACCAGTCACTGACCCTCTGGCTGATGGAGACCAGGTGACACCCTATGACTCCCTCTGAACCCCCAGTCCCACTGACCCTCAGCTCTGGCTGACGGTAACAGGTGACCCCCACTGACCCCCCCCCACTGACCCCCTGACCCCCTCTGACCCCTCACTGACCCTCTGGCTGATGGCGACCAGGTCGAGGCCGGGCAGCGAGATGGAGCGGCGCCGGTGGTCCAGCTGTCCCGGCCATTCGTCCTCCCCCTCCTCCTCTGGAATCATCAGAGGCAGACCGGCCGAGCCCAGACCGGCGCCCGTGCGCGGAAACGTCGCAGACATACCCGACACACCACTCAGGTCACGTCAGGTCACGTCAGGCTATTTAAATCTGACCACCACGCCCGAATAGCCCACGGCCCCAACGATCGGTCAGGCTTGCCCGGCTTACAAAATCACAGAGCCCGAGACGTGCGGCGGTTCGGAGCACTTGTCACTTGTCCTTTCAGACACAACTCGCCGAGTCGGCTTTACGTGACCCGACGAACGCAGCCTCACTGACTGATGATTCTCGCTGACACACTGACCAGAGACCACCGCGGCGGTCCACCCGGGAGAGCTCTTCAGATCACACAGCCACTTGAGCGCCGCCTCTTCCGCCAAGGACGATCCTGTGATCGCCAGCGGCGGTCCACAACAGCTGGGCCCGGTTTCCTCACCGATTAACGATAGCAGGAAAGGGGGGCGACATGTCCCAGTTTTCCAGCAGGATATTGTGACCTTCAATCCAGTACGGGTCAACAGCAAACACGGAAGTAGCAACCGCTGACAGACTTCATAAACAATTATGGTTAAATGAAATTGCGAAAGTCAAATTCGTTCAAAATAAATCGTCCTAGCAATTCACGGTCGAAAACACTGCGCTAACCCGCACTTTTATATAAACGGTCGGTAGATCGGTCACGAGACTGACCGGTGACCCCTTGACCCTCCTCGGCCGAGGCCAGAGAGCGACTGCCGACTGCCGAGCCGTCCGTCTCTGTGTTGTGCTGTCTCGTGAGATCCGGGCGATCACGTGCAAATAAGCGAACCTTGTCTGCAGCGCTGCCCGCGGCGGACGCCACTTGAAAGTTGAACAATCGCATTCAAACGGCAATCATTGCAGGAGGCTTGTTTATCGCTGCCGCCGCCCTATCGGCTTGCTCGATCGCCTCCCGGCGAGAGGGGAGAGCGGAGGAGCGGAGAGAGAGGAGGAGAGGGCCGTTAGACCGGGAGTGGGCGGGGGAAGCGCCGGCACCGCACGAAAGATTGAATGATGAAGAGGTTTATAAGTTGCCGCTGATGTCGCCAGGTTGCCTTGGGCTGGTCCGCTGGGGGTGCACAGATGGCTCTGTCATCGCTGGGTAATCACGCAGTATAGTGGCACTCTTATCACGAGCTCTAACTATGCAAACGGTGCTGCGGTCATACAGCTATATAAGTTATAACGAATTATTAAAGCGGCTCAGTGGCTTCCGATTGTGGGGAATGTAATGAAATGAAATAGACTGTTCAATAAAATAAACCGAGCAAAATCGAACGTTTGGGTCTTTTGGAAAAAGTCGAAGCGTATGGTGTACCTACATATCGTGTGCCGTATTTGCTCTTACAACTGGTACCGAGCACCGGGGCTCCGGACCACCTTACCTACCCCGTTTTTTTTTCTCGAAAAACTCTTGCAAAAGCGGCCGATCGCGACAAAACTTACTATCCCCTTGAGCTAATCAATTTCATATCTATCCTACCCCCAACCCCCCAAAGAAATAATGGCCCTGACCCAAATGACTTATGGTGTATATGACCTGTTCTCGAGACCGGATCGCGATTGGGCTAAGAATCGCGATTTCATCGTATGCCAGCGCACATTAGGTACCCGTGCGTTTCCAATCTTTGATGGTTGTAAGCGTCCCAACAACGTGTGAAGTAGTGTTTGTCCCATGCAGTGGTGGGCGTCAAGGTCACGTCAGGCCTCAGGGTAAGGTCAAGCTCACTGTCCTCAGATTATTTCACTGGGCAACACGCTCGTTTTGTTCCGCGAAGCTCTAGCTCGATCAGGGGCCAAACGACGGAGGGGGGGGGGGTCCTACGGAGTACGGATCACCCCTTAGGCATACAGGTACATACGTTTGTGACGCTGTAAAATGGTTAGCACGCCGTGTCTCGCTCAGAGTCGGCGAGTTTCAACCCAAGACTCCATCACTTTCGCTACGGCTTAGTAGTAATCGCTTCTATTATTTGGTGGTGACCGATACAACCAGATCTGATGGTTGGGTCATAATGTTAATGCATTTATATAGCCAATAATGTACGTGTCTGCGCTTCACCTGCGTTCGATTTATTTGGTCTGTGTTTTAGAGGCCATTATTACATCAGTAGTAATAAAAATTAAAAAGTATGTTTTTTTTTCTATAAAACTGCAAAATTTGTTTAAAAACATATTAAGAAAATAGTGAACACCTTCTAATAGAATTTTATTTTGGAATTGAAAGCCAAAGTTTTTAAATTCAATTGGAAGGTGAAATTCATAGATAAAAAGACAAAAAATTGTTTTGAGTCAAATAGAGGCAGTAGTGGCGCTCAAGCTGCTTATGCGCTACTTGTTTAGAAATGTCACTGCTTTGTTGTGCATGTCGCCGTCGTCGGTCACGCCCGGTGTTGTGATTTCGGTTGGCGTTTTAATGGTAAGGGGTTTGGGAGGATTTTTTCACGCATTGCGTATTCGGCACTATAGTGATCTTTGACTTAAGCTATCTGGATCTGTTATGTAGCCTACGAATCAATCGTATGCATACTGCATCAGCATAGGCAGATCCAGGGAGGCTGTCTCAGTCGGTGAAACTATGGTAAAATCTGCTATTTTTAGCAGTCTGCTATTTTTAGCAGTCTGCTATTTTTAGCAGAAATCTGCTAAAAATGGGTACGCATGTGACGTCATCGTACCCAAATATAGCAGATTTGGGTACGGCCCCCGACAAAAGCAGATCTGCACCCTAATTGAAGCAAATGCGCATCAAATGCCAGGTAGATTCATGATTAGAATAGTGCTGAGAATGTCCTCTGATATTTTTGTTCAGATCCGACTATTTTCAAATAATGAATTTGAAAATAGCCGGATCCGAACAAAAATAGCAGAGAACTCTCTCAGCACTATTCTCACCATTAATCTGCCAGGCATTTGATGCGCATTTGCTTCAATTAGGGTGCAGATCTGCTTTTGTATGGGGCCGTACCCAAATCTGCTATACTTGGGTACGATGACGTCACATGCGTACCTACCCATTTTTAGCAGATTTCTGCTAAAAATAGCAGACTGCTAAAAATAGCAGATTTTACCATAGTTTCCCCGACTGGTCTCGGACGCTGCTTGGCCCCTGGCAGGCATAACCCCAAAAGTTCTCTGAATTCTCAAATGTCCTCCAATTTCGATTCCCTGTGCCATTTTTGGCAAACAATTTTTGGCGGCAATGCCATTTTTTGGCAACCATGTGCCAAAAATGACAACGCTATCAGCTATTTTTGGCAATGATGAAGCCGATTTCACTCCTCAGCGAGGAAATCACGATTTTGGAAATACAAGCACTGATTTTGGAAAAGAAGTGCTGCCTCCTGGTGCAAGAAGAATAAACCAGCTTTAATATGGCCATTGTTTGTATGGTAGTCCAATGTTGACGTATACCCTTTTTTGTGGCCTGAAGCTGGAACTTCAATTTGCAGCATCCAAAAATGATCAATATTGATCGAAAACATAATTTTGATGAACAAAAGTGTCAACCCATGCTTATTTGGGGTAGGTATAGGTACATGTTTTTCCATTGTATAGCATTTCAATAAAAATGACATTTTTTATTCCCATGTTTTTTTTTAGCCCTCTTTCTGCAATGTTTTCAGTCAGAAAAGCCCTCTTGCAGTACCTAATATTAAGTCTAGAATCCTTTCTGTTGCCTGCTTTTAACAGAATGCTGATTGCTGAGCCACTTCCTTCCATTATGTTGGATATGAAATGCCCATGATCAGTTGATATAATCATTTGAAGAAGATCTTAGTGAGTAGAAGTATTGTGACAAAATTGAACCTTTTTCATAGTGACATGCTTTCACAGTACATAAGATGGTTAAGTATGTTGTGGTGTTGGTTGAACGTTTATGTTGGTACTTGGCTGGGGCTCCAGCTTAACTCGCGAGTAAAGTCGATGCTCCGCCGGAGGTATGCCCGCTCTGTGAGCTCCGGACGGTCGTAGTTAAGCCCAGGGTTTCAGAGTCGGAGTCGGAGTCGCCCGGAGTCGTGGCAAGCAGCCACGACTCCGGTGGCTGCAGTCTATACCGGTCCAGCTGCCTCGACTCCGACTCCGGAAAGTTCACTGAAGTCTAAAATCCGTGCTATCACTTTTCAGTTGTTTTTAATCAGCTGCCCCACGGCAAAATTCGCTTCCGGTGATCACAAATAACTAATAAGTTATTTGGATCTAGGTACTAATAAGTTATTTTTCACACATCTGGTTTTTGTTCTGAAAAGCTAACATTGCATCTTACAAATTTCAAGTCATGTCATAATTTAGTAGGCAAGCATTTTGTGTTCGCGTTATAACTTCTACTATCCAGTGTCAAAGACTTAATGACACTGTATACCTATTTACTTTCTTCTTTTATCGCTCCAAAAAGTGCCTAACACAAACACAGACCGACATGATGGCGATGCCCGTGGTCATGATACGGCCACACTCGTGTTTCTCAGCGGGTTTTCAAGCTGGCGCATCATATCACGCGGAATTTTGGCAGCCACCATTGCCCTTTGTATCAGACCCAGAGTCGGAGTCGGAGTCGGAGTCGGTCAGGAGCCCGGAGTCAGAGTCGGAGTCGGAAAAGCACTACCACGACTCCGAAACCCTGGTTTAGCCGTAGTTGTCGCGATGGTTGGCGCTAGCCCGATGTAAGCCCCAGCAGTAAAACTATTTGCATAATGGGGATTCTTCTGGGCCCGAGCGAGCTGAACTCCGTCGAGCTCACTTTGTGCAGTAGTAACTAGTAAAGTTATCTTATTATTTACATTGTGTGTCCTGTCTATGACTCTATACCAAGCTAAGCCACAGAGGTAAATGAGGTTGTTACCCTGCAAACTGCTCTAGGTTTGGCTTTGGCTTGCTTTGGCTTTGTAAATTGATGGGGATGGATCAATTTGCTGATCAACAGCTACTTGACCAAGTACAGCACTAAGCTGCGCAGGTGACACACTAGGTTTAGAATATATTTGAGGTATATTGCATGTACAATTTCCGAAACATTCCAAATTTTGAAAACTGATGATAGCAGTTTGTTGGCCCTGTGTCATCTCGTGCAAATAAATCAGTGCTGGATTTATTATTGTAATCGTGAAAAGGAATGTTGTAGAACCATAATTTGCATCCAAATCGAGCGAACATGACGTCATTGTGACGTCATTTCCTTCCGACCTGTCAGCTACAAGATTTTACTTGAGACACAATGTGTCAAAATTATGCAGCTGATGGTACCTGCGACTCTCATAAAGCGTGTCGTTTGGTTTCGTGTCGATGCATTTAGTGCTTCAGTAGATAGCAGATAAACGAGATGGAGGAAGGTGGGGCTCAGTCATGCTCGGGTTAGAAATATGACTGGCGTGCATACAAATGATCAATGGGACCGTTTGACGGGTGACCTGTGAGTATTCAGGGCATAACCCGACCTGACATCGACCTTCGCTGTGCCTGCTGCATATGATAATTCATAGACCTCTGTATACAGAGGTCTATGGATAATCGCTTATGTAAGTTTTCAATGAGTTGTCTCACTTTTCAGGTTAAATAGAATTGAAGAACCATGGATTCTATGTCAGACAAAGGTGAGTACCATGGGCTGGAGCATGGTGACAAGAGGCAGAGTTTGATGTCTCCTGAAAGCTTGGAATTGAGCTTTCACTGCTGGTTATTTAATCTTAGCCGTGGTGGGAGTTTTAAAGCTTTTCTTCTCCTTCTACACTCTTACGGCGGATTTCTCTAACGCCTCCGTTTCTGGTACCATTATTATCTGTGATTTCTGTGCTGTTCTGTGCTTGATATATTCTTTGTGACTTTCGTGCAAGCTGACGGTATTTTGACGATCTCTCGAACGCCGTTTGTCCTTTGGCTGCGT